CTCTTTACATAAACATTGAGAAGAAATTAAGTTTTCAAAAACTGTTTCGGCCTTGCTAATAGGCAATTAGTTATGAGTAAATCGAGAGACTCTCCGAGGGTACCGAAAAATACCGAATAACTTAACGAGCTTTTGATACGGAGAGGCGCAAAAAACGGGGCTAAATTTAAAAACGTTTCGTCTGCATTCGGATCAAAGAAATTGGTAATTATCGAGCGGCTCGTTGGCGCAGCTGTACTCGATGAATGAAATAATTACAAATATACATCGGTGTCGCGCTGATTCACGCGTAAATACACGTGGCATATACGCGAATGAATTTCTACTACATTAAGGACTTTCACAATTGGATTATCGACGTATTTATTTGGACACATCGCGTAAGCTTATCGCTGATTGGGGCTGAACTGCAAATAAAAGAAGAGAGAAGCGCAGATAAAAAAGGCACGCAGAATTACGTACACGGATACGCGGGCGTACATAGGTAAGGGAAATCTCGCTGGAAATCCAGCTCGAATGCGCAAATAATTGACTGTCGGGGTAAAGAGCTTTTTTTCGAGCGACTGAATATATAGCAGCGGCGGCATACGTGCACGCGCAAGTTCGATGCTGCTGATGCTGCTGCCTCGTTATACACGAAAAAGTCAGAAATGCTATCTGCGGAACTCGGGCTGCTATAAAGATTTCGGGGCGCTCGCGCGTTGCAAGTCGCGTGTGGTGGCACACACACATACACACACCCACACACAGTATGAGAAATTTGCTTCCGAGCTTCGAGTTCGATTGAGCGTCAAATATTCGCGCGCGCTTGCAAGGTATATTACGTAGCTCCGAAATCGAGCCGAGCAGGCGGCTTTTCGAGCTGACTCCGCGCTTATGTATGTAGTATGTGCGCTGCCACTGCTGCCGCCGCCGTCGCCGTTAACCGCCTCTCGACCTATTATTTCACTCTCACCCGAAGCTGACTGCTCTTCTCTATCCGCGCGCGCGTCGTGGCTATATAAATCTTCGAGCCCGAGCTGTGTGCCGAGCTTTTTTTTCTCTTTCTCTCTCTCTTTCTCTCTCTCTCTCTCTCTCTCTCTCTCTCTCTCTCTCTCTCTCTCTCTCTCTCGTCGTACCCCCCACAAGAGCTTCTGGTTATTGTTTTGTTTGAATTAATTACCTGGCAGAATTTCTGCTGCCGCCAACTTTGACTCGGCAATTTATGTAATGCCGCGCGATATGTCCTCCAACTCAATAACCTCCGAGTCTCTTCGTTTTTGCGCTTTGCTATCGAAAATCAGCGTTTCCATAAATAAATCCGCCGATTAGAAATCAAGAGAGAAAAAATTATCAACTTATTCGAATTACAGCTGAACTTCTCTGGCAAGAGAGAGAGGTGCGTTTCACTCTCGGTATGACCTCGTTTTTTACCATAGGAAAGTGGTAATAAATTGGAGAGAAAAAAGTGAAACTGCGGAAAATGTACGAGCTAAATGAGCCGTAGAGGCATTTTCTCCCTTACGCTCTTCCCCCTCTCTCTCGCTCTCGAGTTAGTTGAAAATGCAAAACTCCGTTAATTATAACTTAAAATATTCCCGGGCATGTTTAGAGCGGCAGTAAATCAAACTAATATTTGTCGGATCAATTTTGCTGAGCTCTCGTTAGCTATATAGCTGGTCGTCAAATAATCAGTAGCGCTGCCGCATATCCATTTCTCATTATCGCATAAATCTAGAAACGATCCTTTTGATTTTTCCGATAATGGCATTCTGGACTTCTCATTAAAAGATTATCTTACATAAATTTTCGTGCACATTTGCATTCTGCGGCTACGTACTCGACAGTGTATATGAACGATATTCCATCAAACAATTAAACGAATTTTTTTCGGTGAAACTTTCGAACGATCCGTAACCCGCTATATATTTCTTGATTTTCATTCAAGCTGCGTTGAAAGTCAAACCCAGCAGCGTAGCAACGGCGACCGAGCAATACGGAAAACTATCGATTAAACATTTTATGGTGTCTACTCTAAGGGTCGGGTATGAACACGGCGCGCGCGATAGGAGTGCAGCATCCGGCGCAACAAGAAAAGTTTCCTAAGAGAACTGCTACTGCTGCTGCTGCAACTGACAGGATCGGAGGCGATGTTCATATTATACGGTACATACTCGAGACACAAGAAAAGCTGGCTACACATTGTGTATATATTGCGTGCCGCTGGCGAAGCCAACGTCGTCGTCGTCGTCGTCGTCGTCGTCGTCGATGCGAGCTCTCCGCTCGAGGCTCCTCGGGAATCCGACGTCGCGCGCATTTGCCAAAATTGTCGGTGTATACGTATCGAAAGCGACAAAAGAGACAAAATCGGTTTACCATGGCATGCATAATACGTCGTATATACATTATATTGGTTCGACATCCTCGACTATATACGTACGTACCCTACGTGCGCTTTGAGTTTCGACCCGACTTATCGCTGGCAACGTGTTCGATTCTTCGGGGAATATATATAGTTCGAACTATGATAAGCTCGCATTTCAACTGTTAATGCAGCCACCCGTGCAAACGTATATAGTAGCAGTGCAGCACGTGTAACAGTATAGCAGCTCGTAGCGCGAGTTTTCAATCATGGTCCGCAGCAGCAGCAGCAGCAACAGCAGCAGCAGCAACGGCAATTCGTACCAATAGGCTCTCGTGAAACTGCCTAAGTGCTCTAATTGAAGCACTACGTATGTACTCGTCTGCACACTCTTCAATCAAGTCCTCGTGCGTGCGTATACGATACATACGATATAACAAACACATCCACACACAAACGCGGTGGCAACCGAGCCAGATACATACATATACCTGTGTATATTTTCCAACAATTCTCTCTGATACATATTGAAAATCACTTGCGTGGCAGCGAGCAAAAATGAAAAAAACGCGTGGTACGTATTCGGGTAGAAAAAGTTGCGCAACCTAGCGAAACGACGAGGCCCTATGTAGCTCTCTCTCTCTCTCTCTCTCGCTCTTTCCTCGTTTTTGCACAAATATTTTCGGTTGCGTGGCTGTTTGCGTTGGCGTGAAACGTTCTGAAAAATCCACGGAAACCTAGAGGAATTCGAGAGATACACGCACGTGCGTATGAAAATACTTTACGCGTAGCCGGAATTATTTATTCGAATCGATTGAAAAATCCTGTTAATTCTTCGACGTGTATATCTCGCGCGCTCGCGAAACTTTGATATAAACGCCTTTTGATATCGTGCGGTGCTATCTCGAGTACAAAGCATACACGAGCGGATCGTCCATAAATTCAAGAAAAGGTTCAAAGTCATACACTCGTCGGACTGGAAATACGTTTCGATTATCGGATTCGACAAAGGTACGAAAAGTTTTTGAAAAAAAAAAAGTTGGAAACTGCCTCCGATCCGTCCGATAATACATACACAATATACATTAATCTTTTCCACTGACGCAGATATATAGAAAACGTATTATGAGCTCAACATGCAAGGTGAAATTTCGCAAAAGAGAGAGAGAGAGAGAGAGAGAGAGAGATCCTCCTGCGCGCAAAGAACTGGTTCAAAGTCCTTTTGAGAAGTTTGCCGCGTGCTTTATATCGCGAGAGGGTGCACGGGGCCGAGGGGCAGCGCGCAACACACAAAAATACCGATAAGCACTTCTTATATAACTAAGCATGTGAATTATCTCGTCGATGCCGGCGAAGAGAGTTATATACCTGCAGTAACGCAGCGTACCAGACGAAAGTAGGTTAAAAAATGTTCCAATATTCACCGATATATCTTTATACATGCATTCTGCGCGCCCATAGAAAAAAAAAGATCGATATTTTCGAAGCGTTATTAACGAAGAACAGAACTCGAACGTAGTCAAAAAAAAAAAAAAAAAATCAAGGAGGGGGAGGAAAAAAAAGTAGCAATGCAAAAGGGCGGATATCGCGCGCTCGAATATAGAAAGGTTCGCGCTGATGCTACTACCGCGCGTTCACGTATAATACAGATATTCCAGCTGCTATTCTTTTGTGACATCCAAGCCATTGTGCGTGATAAATGATGTAAGAGCCGGTATATAATGCTGGATTAAAAAAAATGTGAAAGCGCCACGCAGAGCTTGCAGCCGGAGCTTGCAGGAGCTTGCGAGCAAAAGAGGAAAGTAGAAAAAAAGATTTTTCAGAGATATATACAATACATAAGTTTATTCTCAGGTGTGTCTTAGTGTGTGCGTGGGTGGGCTCTCGTACGTGCATCACCTATACGCTCACACACACACACACACACACAAATACGTATAATAATAACACGTAAATATATATGGGTAATATTCAAGCAATGCATACAACTTACCGATGGCTTCAGTTTAATCATGTCGAGTAAACAGCGCGTTGGCTTTTCTCCGAGTGCGGTACCGACTGCGCCACACTTGTCTGCCGCATATATCTTTGTCATGTGCACGCACACTCGCTCGCAGGCGGAGTCGTGTACGGTATAGGCAGGCAGGCAGGCAAGCAGCGCAGCGCAGCGCTCGGAATGGTGCATATACGCACTTTGCTCTAAGAGACACACAAAGTTTCCTATATTACTATAAGAGCAGGTGAACACCAACGCCGCTGTGCTCTGGCGAACAAATGAATAAATACACACAATAATGCGCGTGTATGCGTATTATATTATATGTTATGCATCAGTCGAGCTCCGCGTAGTGCATTATATCTCGTATCGCGAGAGCGAGCACTACATAAACTGATGACTGGCAAATACATAAATATTATATGAATAAAATATACAAATACATACGTACATAATATATATGATAGAAAAATACGAATACGTGCTTATGTGTATCTGGTACCACTCGAGACTAATGGATACCTCGTGTTTTTGTGTGTGTTTCTTTCTGTTTTCTCTTGTCTCCGTTGCGTTCGTTTCTCTCACCTGTCCCGTCTCCGCTCTCTCGTCTGCCTCGTCTTCTCCGCTGCGAACGGACGAAAAACCACCACCATCATCGTGTAGCTTCGACGTCGAGAATGGCGCCTCGACGCTGGACGGTGCCGGAGGCGGCGGTGGAGGCACGTCACCCAGCACCGGCGGCCTCGTACTGCAGACCCTGCCCCAGCGCAGGGAGAGCTTCCTCTATAGGAGCGACAGCGACTTCGAGATGTCGCCGAAATCCATGTCACGCAACAGCTCCATCGCCAGCGAGAGGTAAGCCCAATTATATCAGAATCTCAATCGCAATACAATATCATTATTTTATTATATATTGAGTAAGAATTTTGTGCACCAACCCGATTCGCACCCACGCACTCTAACTTTAATCATCTTGCATTCTACATCCCTTCGGGAGTTGCGTTGCAGCGATCATCATTTGACTTTGAAATTAAAGTCGAGAACGCACCGGTTCGGATCGGTTGCTGTGGTTTTTTTTCTCGAATTTTTCAAGTCAAGCTTCGTCTTGCTCTCCCGCGATTTCTTTCGATCATGTGGAAGAAAAAACTGTTTTAAATTTTTACAACTCGCTGATGATGTTTTTTTTTTCCAAGCTCACGAGCCAAGCCGAGGCAAGGCAAGGCCGCGTGACGAGAATTCGAGTATATAACGTAAACTCGCGGGGGACTAATTTTTTTCCCCTCTCAGCTGCATATCAGAATGAGATTACATTATTTAACCCAACCCAAGTTTTTGAATTATTTTGTATCGCGGCGTTGACTTTGCTCTGGCGATTTTATTCTCCCATCTGATGCAGATAAAAAAAAAACCAAGTTTTCTCGGGGCCATTTCAAAAACGTAAAATTCCAAAAAAATTATATACGCCACGATGTCAGTTTGAAATATTTTTCTACCGTCGCTCGAGCACGAATAACAGCGACAAATTGATCATTCGAAACGCTTTGGATAAACATTCGCTTGGTATTTTTTGTCGGTTTCGGATCGTCGTTTACATTATACCAAAAAAAAATACAACATTAATATCGGAACTGTGCTCTGAAAGCTCGAGCCGTGGATACAAAGTCAATGATACGATAACGCACGAGTTACGCCGATACACGCGCGCGCGTACCGCGACGTATAAATATTTAAAAATTCTGATCGCCTCGCGGTACGCACATATACGTCTAACTCGGGCTCTTCGCGATGCAACGCACGTAATACGTGTGCGTATATAAAAAACAGCGGAGAGCCGAGATTGGCGGATCGTGTTATTCTATCGAAATGTATCGCAGGGAAATGGCCACGGGATCGCGAGGTAAAAATTTTAATAACCATAGAAATGATGCACGCGGGACAACGAGAGCAACCGGATACGCTCGTCTCTCATGTTTATTATGCATGTATATAGCAGCAGCGTGTATATATCTCTCTATGCACGTAAAGATACATCATACGCATTGTATATCGGGTATAGAGAGAAAAAAGGGAGTATACAGCATCGCAGTAATGCTATAACGAACTCGGTTGCAGGGAGAGATCGAAGGAAAACGATGCAAAGTCCAATTATGCGGCTTTAGCTCGAGAGTAATATCGATATTGTTTTTTTTTTTTATAACTCTTCTTTTTTATCCCCGTTGGTTTTTATTCTTTTTATTTTATTCTTTTAGGGTGACATTTTTTTTCATTTCGCTTTATTTTCTGGAACGGAATTGTTCAAGCGATAGTATGTTGGATAAAGTAATTGCTTATTTCACTTTCTATATCTCAAAAGTATCTACTTATTTCTTTGTCGAAAGCTACATGTGTAATAGTAATTTTGAATATTGTCAAAAAGTTCGCAACGTGATTTTCTTCTCTTTCTGATCTGCACAGCTGAAGTTTGAAGTTTCCTGGAAAAAGATATGATTTTGTAAGATACGCATTTATATCGATTGTTGAAGAGTATTGTGTGTCTCTGTTACTTTTCTACATACTCTACTGTGCTTTTACAAAATTCTGATATTTTCATAAATGTGCGCGTTTAATAACGAGTACTACAAAGAAAAAACTCTATATCTCGCTCTCGTGTGTAACATATTTCGAAACTCGTATTGTTTGCTGAGTGCAAAAAACTGTACATGTTTTTATTTACTTCTATCGAATTTTCTCTTTGAAACTGTCTCTTATTATATCATATACCTCTTGCACATCATTTGTACATTATTGCACTCTATTCTCTCCCTATATACATAAATTAGATATTTCTCATCATTTGCGAATCCCGACCGAGTTCGGCGAAGAATTGAAATTCCATTAAAGTTACCCAAATCTACTCGAACGCTGGAATTCGCAATACGATGGGAGTGTTGAATTTTTTTGTTTAAAAAAGCTTTGACTTACTATCTGTTTTTTATGCGTGTGATCCTTCCATTACAGGTTAAAAGAGACCGAGCCACCAGTCGAACGAGCGTATGTACTCGATCTATTTATCTACTTATCTTATTATTATCTCAATTGTTCATTACACACATACATTTTTATCTTTATATTTACTGTACTTATTTTTTAGTTTCAATTTACAAAGTATAATGCCTCTGTACCTTGCTTACACCATCCTCTGCCCTATGAGCATATGTTCGTTTATTTTGGCTACTGCTCGCTTTAGTGTTAATGTATTGGTGGTTTATACAATACCATCTGAATAGATGTTGTATAGTACGCCGTCCAGTTCCTTTGAACTACTAACTGCAAATGTGATTTGTTCGATTGCTTCCTTTTACGTTGATCAATGTGTGTGTTTCAGTCTCCTAAAAGAGTTTATAAAAATTTTTCAATTTAAAAAAAGAGCAGGGCTTCCAAAAAAGCCTCGAAATGAAAACAAATATTTAATTACATGCAATAATTTTAATATAATATTTTAATATAAGTAAATTTTACCTCCGTAAATAATCCACCGTAGTTAAATTAATTATAATTATCAAGTATATATTTGTTAATTATGTACATTATTATGGACAATATTACGTAATTAGATTAATGTGTTGTATATATTTGCACATATACTTTGAATGAAAAACAAATGACAGGTCGCAGAAAATTTCAGTGTCGGCGAGCGAATCGGAAAAAAATGAAACGAGACAGACACGATAGTCGGTGACAGGTAAAGAAAACAGCCAGGAATTACCATAAGCCCCGCAGCAATGCTGTGTATAATGTTCCAACATACGCAACAGTAGTCCATGGTCTTTATACACTGTGTGCACCGCGCACAAGAAGCAGGTAGCGGCAGAAGCAGCAGCAGGTCGCATTATAAGCCGTTGCAAAGGCAACTACCGCTGGTATATTTAAAAGGACCTCTCTCGGGCAGCGAGCAGTAGCAGTCACGACTCACGAGCAGCAGCAGCAGCTCCGCGAGATACGTCGAGTCATAAATCGTCGGGGTCGAGACTGGTCGTGTCCTTTTACGAGCTCGCCTCCTCCCTGTGCACTGCGACCTGCACACACACACGCATACACACACACATTTATCTCTCTTTCGCTTTGCAGCTATACATACATACGCGCGCACATGCGACAAAAAAGCGGACGTTCTTGTAATTTCCGGAGCGCGTCGACGCGCTCTTCGCTGCTCTGTCTCTGCCCATCGGTGCACGACAGCTTCGGTCCTCAGCTGTACCTATACCTACCCACCTAACTCTCCTGGGTCTCGTAAACCCTATTATGTTTAATAATTGAAACGTAATGACGAGTTCGTGCCGCGCGCCAACTTTCCTTTTTGCGCGCGTGGGTATAGAATTTTTAATTACCCTACGACGTTGGCTCCTCGTTTTTGTCCCTGTTCCGCGCGCTCTACCCCCTAAATTTCGCTCACAGCTAAACTACATTTTAGAGTGTGATATACTTATTATGCACCTTGGGAGGAATGTCAACATAATATGTGCACCGCCTAAAAGCAAAGCTACATCGCGCAAAAATCGATAAATTAAAACTACGATAATGGCGAGCGTTCACCGCGCGGGTAATGTGTCTTCGGCTGCACCTTGGCTAGCGGCGGCACTTCAAGCGGCATGTAATGCTTCGTTTTTTTTTGCTTCGAACTTCAAGCACGAGCGTTATACATTTCAAGGATGAAAAATTCTGGAGGTCCACTCGAAATTCATGTTATCGCGTGCTTCAAAAAGGTATATCGCGCGAGCGCGCAACACACAGTAGTGCCAGGATATAGTACATAATATTAAAGCGTGTGAAGTATGCGACGACGTGCTTGCGCGCAGAAATACTTCGACGCTCGAGCAATAACTTCACAAAGCGGTCACGCGAAAAAGCTGCTCTATGTTCTATGGGCGCGCTTTTGAAACGAAAAAAGAAGGAAGATAACTGCTGCCAGCTCAGGCGTGCGGTGCGAACTTCACGCGCGCGCGCCCGAGATTGAAGATAATTGAGGACAAAAGCGAAAAACGATTTATCGTACTTGGCTGCGAAAATCGTTAGTGCACTATATTGCGATCGTGTGAATTCGCGGACGCAATGGCATTGCAATTATCGATATAGTGTATTTTGTAACACCGCTTGAAGAATCAGCGAAACAAAGGTAATCGACGATTCATTGGGTGCACACGTTCCGTTACAATCGAGCAGTCGTAAAACATTTTTTCATATCTCTAATTGATTTTATATCTCTTTCAAGGAGAAAAGACTTGGTGTAAGCAGAGTCGAATCAGAAGCAAAAAAATCCGAACATCGAATGGAAAATCGATATTTCATAGTTTTGATGTTGAAATTAACGCGCGCATAAGCTCCAATTCGAGTACGCCTCGCGAGCACACGATCTCGATCCGCCAAGTGTCAAGGTGCATATTATTATATACATAAAAAGACTGGCGCAGAACGTCGCATACTCACGCGCGCCTCGATCGTTCCGTGTTTATTGCCAACCTCGTGCATTTTTGCGTGCTGCATATCCGCGCCGCGTGCCTTCGCTCTTTCGAATTGCTGCTCGACATTTTTGAAGTGAAACTTCATTTGACGTGTTTGATACGAGCAGTAAAGTCGTAAGAAATGAGCGTCCACCCGTTCGAGCGAACGTGCTGATAGCCTTAGATATGTAGATGCTACATCGATTTTCGGTTGTTGATGCTAGCAGTTTTACCCCTCGTCCCCACAAAAAAATTGATTGGCACCTGCGCTAATTCTCGTGGCAGACCAGGGATCGTATCCCTAATCCTCATAGCAGAGAGCAGAGCTATCCCACAGGGTTACCATTGGACATAAACAAATATCTCTAATCGTGAGCTTATCAATTCCGTCAACAGATGGAGTATCGTAAAGTCGCAAGTGGTAAAGGAAATATCGATTATAAAAATGTCTTTTAGCTCATGATATCTTATAACACGAGTCTAGGCGCTTTTGTCTATTATTGTTCGTTTCGAATCAGAGCAGAGAAAAGTGACGCTCGTTGGCTGATTATCGCAACCGCTCGCAACCTCAGTCGACCACGTGTCTTGGCAAAAAGTGGCTCGTTTCCGAGCGCGCGATCCACCTATATATTGTGTGTATAAGTGCTGGCTTACATGCCTAGTCATTATAGATCTGCTCGCCGGAAATGAAGAAGATCGATAAACGACCTATCGCGTTCTCGTGATCGACCGTGTACGCGTCGATATGTATGTAGTTGCGATTTATTTTTACCTCCTGCTAACGTATGGAATATTTTGAACGATATAGACGCGTTATCTTGAATCAGTGACGGAAAGAGTTTTGCGCTACGTCGTTCAGAGACAGGGAGATCATCGTTTCAATCGGAGATCGGTATTAAACATTCGCATGGATTCGCTGTTGCTTTTTTTGTTACGACAAAAATTTTGTTCTAGCCGTTCTCTCCGTCGTATGACCATTACACGCGAACACACTAGCTGCACTTGCGTACGTGTGCGATACGCCCCAAAGCTGCGCTCGCAACCTCAACATCGAACCTTAATAAGGTCGAACGAAATAGATGTCGGCGTTCGAGCACGTGGGAGACGTGCTTGGAATTTTTTCCGACGATTCGCTATAGGATTTTTATCGATCGACCGCGCAATAATGCCTCGCTCGACGGCAGCTCGAATTTCATCCTCGGAGATAATGATCGCGAGATCCATGCCCATGAGCTCGATTTCGCAACACACAATACAGTACATCGCACGAAGCCCGTTCTATAATTCGGCGATGTTGTATTCTCGTTCTTCGGCTCGTTCGCTCGTTTCTGGGGGGCCGGGCGCGGAGGATGATTTCGTTGTTAAACTGCTAAGCACAACAAATTAGAAATGACTTTTTGATTGCATAAATGCGCCTTTCGCACGATAACGAGAATTTCGTAGTATATACACGCGCGCGCGCGCGAGCTGCGGCTACAGCAGCGGCAGCAGCAACGTAGTGGGTGGTGGCTGGCTGGCTGGCGTAGGCCGCAAACGAGGCGTACTTGTTTAGATCCTAGCCGCCAGATAGTAGTCGGAAATTTAGACTCGCTGGGCGCGTGAATTTATACTTTAAATAGGCCCTCCCGCGCACCCACGAGTAATATGCAAATGCGCGTTTCATTGCTTTAACTGCCGCCACCGCGCGCCAAGTATATAGGCTCGACTCTCGGCTCTCGCTCAGCCGTTAGCCGGGGGATAAACGTGACGCAGATAATTCCGTATTGATTTTTGCCCTCGACTAGATAAGTGAAATGCGCGTTTAGCGCGGCGTTATAACGGCGTGTCGGCGTACGTTGTCACACAGCACTTACATGTGTGTGTGTATGTGAGATTGTAACCGCACCACGTGGTACTCTGGTTACGATCGCTGAATCGTATCGATGTCACCCGTAATTCGCTCGAACGATACTACCTCGACGCGGTCCAAATGTCGTCTTCCCACGCTGGGCGCGGCATGCCGAACAAGATTCGAGCTTATTACACGATTCGATTGCCGTATAAAGTTTAAAGTTCTAAGATTTTATCGTCCGGAAAATTTTCTGCGCGATGGCAAATCGAAGGAAATCTATTAGAAATATTTTTATCATTGACAATCTATTAGTACGGGAAATTCCATTTGGAAATGGTAAAAATTGCCCTTCTAAAAGTTATCGCTCCAGAGATTTTAATGCGAATAGTTTCCGAGATATAAAGTTTGCCTATAAACTATAAAACTGATGTGAATGGTCTCGGCAAATCACTAGCTTTAGTGTTATGTCTTTGCATATAACTCGAGCGAATTTTTCCGAAAATATTTTTCAGTTCGGTGTAACTCGAAGACAATAGTTCAATCAATCCTACCTGCACAAACGGTGCCGGTACAGCGATGCTCGGCATCCATTTCAGCACGCGATATTAGTTTGTGTAAGCTTACAAAGAGCAAAATAGCAGGCAAATGAAATTGTTTTTTTCATTTTTCCCTGCAAACGGACGTCATTTCGCGTTCGTCGCGCCACTCGAACCCGACACATA